CCGTGGCGTTAAGTTAAGAGAGGAAGTAATAAAAAAGTAAAGAGTCCAGAGGAAAAAAGTAAGAAAACTGGTCGTAAGATAAGGAATAAAATCAATTTTTACAACCAATTCGAGTCTACCGCAGGGTCCGAGTTACCAAACTTGATACTCCGAGGATCTTGAAAAGATTGAAAACAAGCCTTCTAATGGGTACATCCTTGTCCGACATAAGTTTTAACGCGAAAATATTATCTTGGGCAGTAAACATTTGAAAAAGAAAATAATAATAACGCGTCTTCGATAAGAACTAAGATACGATATCTACGAATAATGCAAATGCACTTTTCTCTCTCGTGTTAGATCGTTTCGAACTTTCCGACTCCGATTACTTTTCAACTTCGTTTCAAACTTTCAACAGGATTGAAATTCTAACGGATCGTTTAATCATTCCGAAAACAAATCCAAAGGGGTTTATTGGAAAAAATCAAAGTTTAAGGACTCGAATTATTTTCATTCTTACACGGTTGGTTCTCGATTCTTACGAATCTTCTCGACGAGATGGGTAGTGATAGTTTTGTTAAAGGAAAGAAAAAATATAAAGAGATAAGACGAACAATATGCATCATTTTCGAATAAAATCAATATGTAAAGGAGAGGTTTAAAGGTTTAGAATCCTTAGCGACAAAGGTATCGGCTAGGTTCTTCAACGAAACGGATATTCGAAGGATATAATATGTGAATGCAACGCGTTAAAAGAATTACAAATATTTCTTAATGTTGATCCGACTAAAATATACTGTTGAACGTGGTTCTACTAGAATATAAATCTTCCTTACGAGAGGGAGATCCAAGCGAAACGATGTTAGACGGAGATCCGGGTGAAAAGTACATCCATTAAAATAAACGTTAATCCTCGGAGTAGCTTTTACCGTAGAGGTAATGTCTCGCGGTGCCCATTACGTAACGCTACGAGTTGCTGTAGATTTTGTGCGCTTACGCGAGGCCGCAATGGTGTGGTAAACTCGCCGTTTGGCAGATGTTGGTTAACGTCATGTAGCCCCTAACACACAAGTGGAGCTCAAGAAAATCGAGAAAATCCAAGGCGATGATTTTACCTAAACTAGTAATTATGTATCATCAAAAATCACAAATTTTATGGCGACATTTTTCTAGTAGACAAAGATTTATATCTACTTGACCCCTATGTAGAAAGACAGAGTAGAAATAAAGGGGAGAATATTTTCCGAGATTTGATATATTATTTGATATAACGAGGAAGAAAACGAAAATAGACGCGGTGAAATACCTTCGTTTTTATTATGCGATCCATCGAGCAACCTCCAACGATATCATCAGAATTTATTTATCGAGAGCTTTCTCCTATCCCCCCCCCTCTCTCTCTCTCTCTCTCTCTCTCTCTCTCTCTCTCTCTCTCTCTCTCTCTCTCTCTACCTTTTAATCCCATCCGGCTTTATATCGCTCGTTATTATACGCACGAAATTCAAACGATGGCGGACGCGTCGCTGATAATGGAATAAACTCTGTGAGCGCGAAAGAATTCGCGCTGAATTCAATCCAATCATTCGTCGAAGCGAAAACAGAAATCTAGTTATCGTTACGTAACCAGCCGTCTCCACGTGCCGATTATTTTCACAGCCATTCGCGAACAACGACGAATGCTGCCAACTACGACGGCTACGGTTACGGCTACGGCTATGGCTATGGCTATAGACACCGTCAGTCAATGCTGATAATTAATTATTCAAAAATAAAGCTAAACAATCTCCTCTCTGGCAGCATTGAGTGTGCCTACAATTTTCGACAGTTTCGCGTTCGTTTGTTCGCCTGTCTCCGGGCGCGTGATCCATCACCGAGCATCGTATTCTCCTAATTATCGATTGTATTAATCGATAATTGCGTTCACCCGTAGGAAGAAGGAATGAGAGAGAGAGAGAGAGGCGCAACGTTTCGATTTCGGCACGGAATTTCAACGCGTTGATAGAAATCTGACGCAACTAATCGAGAACGGGATAACGTTGGTAGCACGTGTCACTCTGTCCCATCGTCTGAGCGAAGGGTTCGTGATGCTGGTTAGAGGAGACGAAACCAGAGAATAGCTATTGTTTCGATTCGACAATGTCCCGCTACTCGAGCTCCAGTCCCCTTACACGTTGCGGTCCATAATAATATGATTATAGACCAATGTACCTGACGACCCTCCCACGAAAACATCAAAGAGAGAGAGAGAGAGAGAGAGAGAGAGAGAGAGAGAGAGAGGAAACTTCTATTTCCAAGCATCGAACAATTTGCGAAACACGAAGGAAATTTTAGAGGAACGTTTCCTGGATTTCACGGATATCGGTGCGACGTTAACGCTCGCAAAATTACAACGCGAAATGACGCCTTTCGTGAACTATAAGCTACGAGAGCTTCCTAGTTACATCGGATAATTTTTGTTCGCGAGCTCTCGTGAAATATTTAGCATCCTATATGCATGGAAATGAATGTTTGCTTAAAAGATACGAAGGAAAAGAGTTGCGAGAGCGTAGGATTTTTTTACTTTAACGAATCGTAATTCTTCGTAGCGAACTTTCGCACGGACTGAGTAAAAAAAATTACAAATGTACTTTGTTGTCATCCGTACAAAGAAAATGACGAATTAAAGGAGAAAACGCGATGTGGAAAAATTGGCCATGATAGTACGCATATTATTATTATTACGTCTACTTAGGTGCATGAAACAAAAGTTTAGAAAAATGTAAATACAAAATTCTTTACTTGCCTCCTTTTTATTCTATAACGCTACTAGTCTAAGATTATAATTATAAATTTATTTGATGTTGCGATTAAAGGAAAAGACAAAAAGAGAGAATCGATAACGTGTTACGCGAAAATAGCTTTAATTATACTAATATTTCTGTTTACCCAAGACAACGCATCAACAGTTAGACCTGATTAAATTACGGTCACGTTACCGTAACACGTGCCTACGTCTCTCAGCAACCCTGGCAGGGTTGAGAGGCAGAAAGGGTGGGTGCATGGAAACGTGGTGTTGTACGAAATAATGCACGTGCGCGAGTGAATCAAGTCCTCCCCGCTGTTGACGAAGAACGTATGTACGGTTGTCGAGGCCTGAGTTTGCCTGGAATACATCTAGATTTACCTAGATTCATTTAGATTTACCTGTATTCTCATTTCGACGAGTTAGAGATCGTAGTTTTCGCTTCGCCCGATGATTAATGCTTTATCAACTAATTACGAATCTGCCAAAAGTTCTTAAACGTCGTTTGTAAATATCCACGATACGATCTTCTCTCTATCTAAATGTTGATTTCAAAGCAAGTTCGATTTTCCTATGATATATTAATAAAAATGGTTATATCGTAACACGTAGTTTTTTGTCTTCAAAGCTTTTTCAACGCCTGTAACCTTTGAGAGAGAAAAGTTATAAATTATTTAATATATAAACACGAGCCAACGCCGCTGGCCAACAAACTAATATGAATTTCAATTTATGGAAACAAACTTTCGAAATATCGGGGGAGAGAGAGAGAGAGAGAGAGAGAGAGAGAGAGAGAGAGAGAGAGAAAGAGGGATTATTTGTTCGTCATTAAACTTATAATGCGTTTACATAAATGAAAGTTGGATAGAAATTGCTCTTTCTCTCTCTCTCTCTCTCTCTCTCCCTCTCTTTAGCGATATTTTAAATACGAGGAACGGTACTAGCGCTTATTCCAAGAATCCTCCCCGAATAAACGCTCGAGAGTCTCGGCATTCCAAATAACCGAATGTCTCGTTACGATCGGTTTCAATGGCGTACAGTAGACCCGAGAGAATAGTTCCAATGTGTTTGCCGTTACAGCTAGGTATAAAAATAATCTTGATAGGTTTTCGAATCGGCCGGACGTCGATATTGGAAGGTAGTCGGTGGAGTAGCTTATCATATAAAATAAAAGAAAAATCTTAACGTCGTTCTACGACTAAAATATAATACAAAGGAAAAATCGTATTATAACGAATTTACGATACGATATAAAAAGAAAATAAAAGAAAACAATTTTATCGAACAATGATTGTTTTGCAATCGATAAAGAGTTGATACTTATTTTCATGAATTCTTGATAATTGAATCGCGATAACATACAGAAGTTCCAACTAAATGGCATGTTCTTCCGATTCATTGGCTGCGTTTATGTCATAGATCGATTATAATCGCATTAAGAAGAATATTTGTTAGCAATGGGTAAATAAGTACTTCTAGGAAATCGAATTGCAGTCGATGTCGTAGGCGTAGACGCGATCGCCTATCGTCTAATTAAAAGAAATTAATTCTCGCGCGAATTCGCGAAGGTTCGACGGATCCTTCTAAAAGGTTTCAATTGAAAATGGAATACCCAGTTAGACGGAGTAATTAATTAGGAGTGCAATCCGTTTGTAAGTCTGAATCGTCTGTTAGTTCAAGCTGTCCGACTTGTCTGTTAGTCAAAACTGTCTAAGCTGTCCGTTAGTCTGTGCTATCTGTTAATTGTAAACCTTGATCATAAATAAACTTTATTCGTTATTGTTAATTGCGCGTTCCTCTAGTTTTATCACCTAGCATCGTTTAAATGAGACAATTTCATTTGGACGAGATTGCAATATCAATTCGTAGACTCCGCGTATCGTTTTAACGAACGTTGCAATTTGTTTGTTCGCGTTTGTATTTAGAAAGAAGTAAAATTAAAATATTCTCTTTTACACTTGTTGTGTGCCCCACAACCTGTATCGAGAAAAATTCGTCAGACAGAAGTTTGTTGCCGCCGATCCTTTCCAAACGAATGGTATCCGAAGCTTCAATGAATTAATCCAATGCAACGAAAGCCGTTAACATTTTGATCTACCTCACCGAAACCATTTTTAGTTTCTCTAATATTTAACGAAGACGAGAGAGAGAAAGAGAGAGAGAGAGAGAGAGAGAGACGCGTAACGTTTCGATAGATTTGGGATAAAAATCGAATTTTTGTTCGTTTTACGTCACTTACCTCGCTGCCATATCGGGGTGCTCACAGGATTGCTGTCCACCTCGCATTTTAGGCTGACAGACATTCCCTCGACGATGGGAATTCCAAATCCAGGTAAACGCGTTATCGCGAACGATGGAGTATCTGAAACAGGTATTAAGCAATTAGTGTCAGTGCCAAGCGTTCGATGTACGCTAGTGTATCGATCCTATCGGATCGCCGAAAAGAGACAGAAGCGTTATTTGAATAGGGCGACCGGCCTTCGGCGTATAACGGGACGCAATACTCTTCAGGACTTGATTGACGGTAGAGGGCCGAGATTGAACTGACACGTTATTACGTTCCGCCAACCTCCAAAATTCTCCGATTCTACGAAATTGCGTTCCTTTCCTACTAATCCTACGACTTTGATATCAACCAAACATTCCCGAGCTGTTAACGATCATTTTAAATATTAATCTTTCGATCTTATCCTTATTATTCTTGACGCTGTCGCACATTCATTTCTTCGATTAAAACCTTTTAACCAGGTTCGCAAACACGTGGGAACTTTTATTCCATTCAAATAAAACAATCGGATCTCGCATCGGACGAAGACACGTAAATAATCACGATTAAACAATTCTTTACTAATTTCTTTTCATTTCATTTCCACATTCTTTCGTACTCTCGTGAGCATCATCCCGATACAGACTGCTACTTACTATCCGATCGTAAAATCCAAACGATCATAAAGTTTCATGCCAAAGTTTCGCTCAGGGAAGCATATCCCTTATTTTTATCACACGCTATTTCACTCGCCACCAATTTATTTGGCGACGTGCAACTACGACGGCGATGATGACGACGACGACGACGACGACGATGACGAGAAGAAAGATCGGCATTCCTTTTTTTTTTTTTGTCGGAATATTAACTAGGCGAGAAGAATAGCATATAACGCGTCGAGAAACGTTTGAACGGCGCCAGCTAGTGACGTGTCGGACTCGTTGTTCACCCTTCGACGCCATTCGCCCGATGGGCAGCCTAGTGATAACGCAAATGTGTTCGTGTATTCGTGTGAAAGAGAGAGAGAGAGAGAGAGAGAGAGAGAGAGAAAGAGAGAGAGAGAGAGAGATCCATCCCTTTTTGCCAAGCTCAACCGTAAAAATCTTCGCTGTCCTGCTCGTTAATTACTCGACCTCGGATCGGGTCGCTTTCTGCTGGCTCGTTTGTTCGCCAACGATTTTAATTCTCCCACCTCCTCCCTTCTTTTTCATCACCAATCCCTATCATCTTCGTGGTGGTACGCGAAAAGCTTCTACTATTCGCTTGGCTCGCGATATGCATGAATTCTTTCACACAGGTCGACGATGCTCGTTAATGGCGCGGAAGGAAAACCCTGCTGCCGCTACCGCTATTCGTGAGTATGTCTTTGTCCGTGTCAACGTCTATGTATAAGTGCGATCCGCAGGATTAAATCCATTGCAAGTGGATCGATATGAAACGTGAACTTGTGTGCGGTATACGAGTGACCGGAAAAATATATGGAAAATAAAAATCCTAACGATTTTTGATGGAGAAAGTCACAAAGAACGCGAAACAAACTTATTGACGCGAAAACAAACTTTCTTTCGATACGAGATCGCGAATGTGACAAATCTTTGGAAAAAAAGAAAAATAGAGTCCAAATAAAAAATGAAAATGTTTTATATTTCTCTCTCTTGCTCTCTCTCTCTCTCTCTCTTCCTGTCTATCTGTCTGTCTGTCTGTCTGCCTGCCTGCCTGCCTGCCTGCCTGCCTGCCTGCCTGCCTGCCTGCCTATCTCTCTCTTTCTCATTCGCTTTACTAGAGGATAGCTCGGAGTTATTCACTCGGCCATAATAGTGCGGTGCCGAGACAATGCAAGCTTAATGAAAGCTATCCCCGTCAGTTGGGGTACCTCTACGAGGGTCGACGCCATCCGACGCCATCCGACGCCATCCGACGCTGACGCCGACGCCGACGCCGACGCCATCCAACGCAACGGCGTAAACACTGAACAAAGCGAACAATGCGACACAGAAGTGTCCCACAGACCTCGATCGTTTAATGAGAACTTTAAAACGTTTCATCCAATATATTTATATACCATTCTATTTTCCCTCTAACATATCGAAACTATTCTCTATACTGTTGTAGGTATATACGCGTACCATTCGTGAAAACTACCATCATTTTGTGGAAATACTCGAACCAACGGGTTCCCTTTTGGTATTTCCTCTTTTTCATTTTCCAAGCCCGATCCTTAATTTGGATATATTCGTTAATTCGTGTACTAGATAGTTATAATACCAATACGCAAATCTTGGAACAAATTTGAAATAGAATCGTCGAATATTTGATAGAAAGAAAGAAAGAAAGAAATGAGGAGAATTGCGAACGGATTGCACTTTTCTCAGGGAAAAAAATATCCGGATTTCACAGTCGACGAGCGTTGAAAGTTCGGAGCGATCGTTTAAAACGTAGTTTTTTCGTCGGTCTGATTTAATTAAGCTACGCCCGATCGAGTCGAACCTTTAAACGAGAAAATCTACGTAGGAAAATGCTTGGGTATAGCTGCATTAGAAGCGATTGAAAATGCGTTAAGAAAAAAAAAAAAGAAAAAATTTCTACAGAATCGCGGCATCGAATGTAGCAATTTTTCGGGACATATCCGTATCAAGGGTAACCTTATTGAGGTCGACTCTCGTATATCTAACGATATCTCATTTTCAAATTTGTTACGATTTTCATCGATGAATTATTGCCTTTTACCCGGTACACGTGCCTGATAAATGTTACAAATTTGAATAATCCTCCCGGCGTATTATTTTAAAACGCTAGTAAGCCTCTCTCACCGTCGAAAGTAAATGATGCGTACGAGATAAGAGAACGCATAAACGAACGGATAAATTTAGGATTTTGTACGTGGTACCTTGCTATGGGGAAAGATATACGAGTATACGCATTCGATTCTCATTTGGTGGTACGACAATGAATCATGTTGGCGGTACCACTCGAGAAAGAATCAACGACTTCAAACAACATTTTCCGCGCGAGCTTACGCGTGCGAGCTCTCATTCCTAAATTTTAAGGCGAAACGTCGTAAAGCTTCCTAGGCTATGAAGAAAGGAAGAAAAAAAAGTCTCTTCAAAGAAATTTCTACCGACGCGTTTGTTATGAAAACCTCGTAAACCTTATACGAACCGTTAGGCAAACCTAGATATATACGTACGTGTACTATATATATATATATATATACGAGAAAAGAGAATTTTCTAGTAAACCATGGGAACGAGTATGCATTTACGTGCACTTTTCCAAAACAAATATGTCATTAGCGTTGCGTTATTAACATTCCAGCGTGGAATACAATTTGAAAATGAAAATGAATACAAATCGATAAAGAAACGATAATGGTCTTTGGTAATGAAGAAAGCAAGTACTAGTACCCCGCGATCGGAAATTGAACGATTTTCCTTTTCGCACGGTGATTACAGGTCACCCTTTTGATCGGCCTTTCGATCGGCCTTTCGATCGCCCTTTTGATCACCCTTCGCTATCTTTCCTAATCCTTGCCACCGTCTACCTTTAGATTTGTCCCTTGTCGAACTCGTATCTAACTCGTATCTAACTCGTATCGTATCCCTTTTAGTCCCCTTATTTAGTTATTTATTTCTTTCATCCTAATAAATTTTCTATTCCGGAGAACCGAGATCGTATTTATATTGTAAAACTATGTATTGTCGATGATACACCATTATTTCTACGATATTGATTTTCCGAATTTTCGATTCGAAACGTATCGGTACGCAATTGTGAAATTCGAGAACAGTGAATATCGAATAAGTTTACCTATTATTTATCGAGAAACAAATGGAAAATCATTGAACTTTGAACAATAGAAACCAAAACGATTATTCTATCTAGAAGTTCTATTAGAAATTCAAATTAAAAGCGTGCGAGTAGTAAATAGATTGCATTATCTTCAAAATATATATCTATAGTATATATCTATATGTAGGATCAATAGTGTATCGCTCGTTAGATCACTTGTAAAACAATAACGTTTCATCAATATTCGATTACGCCATTTCGTGAACGCGTCATTAACAAAACGACAGGCCACCATTTTTGGTCACAACGTATCCGTTCGGTAAACATTTGTCGTCTGCGTGTTTAAAAAAAGGAATAGAAAACGAAACGGGGAGAGATATAAAAAAAATAGATTTAAAAGAAAGAGGGAGAGAGAGAGAATACAGATATACATATAATAGATATACGTTCGGTGAAAGAGAGGAAAATATAAAAAACAAGATAGAGTTGAAGGAGAGTGAAAGTGATGGAAACTGAAAAAAAAGAAAAGATAAAAAATAGGAGTTCGCGGGGCCCGTTGCTAAGGTTAAAGACGATGCAACGTTAACAGGAAAATTACCCCGAATGCCTGAAAGAAAAATAGTTGGTTGTAAAAGGACACTGCGAGGATTATTAATAGACTCGACCTAGAAAACGTTCCACGGAGAAATATCCTCGCGAAAGAGGAACATTACTTTTCGCGATACGATACAATGTGCTCTTCTCTCTCTCTCTCTCTCTCTTTCTCTTTAAGAGGGCCAACTCATAAATACAAAATTAATGGCGCCACGCCAAAGTCCGAGAAAAAGCGATTCGAACACTAGCCAAACGAATAATCGGCGTTTTGTAAGATGCCTACTTCATGTTTACAATTTCGACAATCTACCCTTTGTAAGTTCTCGAGTAATAATTAATTACAAAAACAATTTCTTATTATTTATCGATAAAATTATTTTTGTAAATAATTTCTTTATAAGCGAAATAACATTTGGAGATATAATGATCGAAAGGATGTTTCGTTGGACGAGTCAGATCGTATCGCGAATTAAAATAATGAATACGTTTAAGAAATATTAAACTCTCGCAACTACGAACGTGTTATATTATATCGTATTGCTCGAGGCTTCTTCGCTTACAGTTTCGATGAATTTGTACAGAAGCTCTTCCGAAATGAATACGAGAACGCGCGCGGTATTCCATTATGGCCCGAGTTGACAGCAACAAGGATCGATTTACTGTCACGTACAATAAACACGTAAATATTTGCAAATATAGAGTGGCCGTAAAGT